GAAGCATCCAAAAAAACCGGAGTGGCTGCACTATGTGCATCGGCCACTGTTTAGAGGGTTAATGTTTCCCCAAGAGCTTGATGACTCCCAAAGCAAACATCCCTGAGGAATCTCCCCAGGGATCAGCTCTGCATCCCATCCCTCCCAGCATTGCCAGACCTTCCCATCAGCATCTGCTCAAAAGGCACTTTCCCAGCTTTGGGCTCCGGGGGGTCGCACCCAGCAGGGCTCAGCCTGGCCAAGCTCAGCAGCTGGCAATAAATCAGAGTGGGGGGGTGGAAATCCATGTGGGATTATTCCTGTGGCTGCCTCCAGGCTCTTGGCTTTGTCTGGGGGTTGTGTTGCTTTTTTTTTGTTGTTGTTTTCTCAGCTCAGCGGCTTCGGGATGGAATCAGCACCGAGGCTGGGAACGGCTGGAGCAGGGAAGGAATTTGGGGCAGGACTGGGGCTGATCATATCCCAGGAGGGAAAATTCAGCCCTGGATGGAGGGAATGCTCTGTCTCCATCCTTCATCCCAGTCTGCACAGAGCAGCCCAGACTGGGGAGTAAATGCCATGCAGAAACTTCACAGCAGCTTTGATGGAGATTTGTTTTATCAGGAGGGAAAATGCAGGGGTTTTATGGGGGAAAAAAAAGGTTTCAGGAATCTTCTTTTGGAGGAGAAATCACTAAAAGGCTCAAGGCAGGGCTATGTCTGCCTGCCCAGCCTCTGCCCAGCATCCCTGTGGCACTATCACATATTGGTGCCTGACCCTGAAGCGTTGGAGCTTCAGAGCTGCTGGAGCTTTTCCTGGCATCAGGAGTCCTCGAGACTGTAGTGAATCAGGTTCCTGCTTCCCTGCTAGAAATGCCAGCTCTGGATCAAACCTGGCTGACACTGCCTGTCCTAAGGGCCCCACCAAGAGCTCCCCAGGGACTGGTGTCTCTGCTGGCCTCGTGATGAGCCAGAAGGGAGCAGGATGTCTGTGCCCACAGCACCAAGAGCTCAGCTGGAGCACGTGCAAGTTTTTCCAAGAAATCAGGAAATTCTTCCTTGGCAACATCACAGCAGGGTTTTTGGCTCTCAGGGCCTGGAGCTCCTGGTGCTCCAGGGTTAAACACCTTTGGAGCCTGTGTGGAACCTCCCACCTCTCCCTCTCAGGTCGCTGATGTTACTCTCCACTGGGTTGCAGGCAATACCCCAGTGATGCATTTGAAGCTTATTTTTATCTCTGGAAAAGCTGGGAAAATGTCTCCTGAACAGATGCTACAGGCAGATTTCATGAGGCCAAGTGGGATGGACACTCTGCTTGTGGCCCCAATGTCCTGGCAGAGCAAAGCTGAGTGTGAGATGGCAATGGATATGATGGCAGCACGACAGCATCGCCATGTGCTCAACCCAGGGGCTGGTTTTAGGGGAGCAGGTGGCACCTGTATCATCTTGCTGTCATTTGTCACCTCCTGTGGGACAGTGGCCAACACTTCTCATCCTCCAAGACTGTCCTGCAGCCCTTAGAGCGATGCTCCAGCCCAGGTGCTGCTGACTTGCCCCTGTCCACATCCCCAGTGGCCACTGGAGACATGAGTCCCCCAGAGACATGACTCCCCCAGAAATGTGACCTCCCCAGAGAAATGACTCCCCCAGAGACATGACTCCCCCAGAGATGTGACCTCCTCAGAGACATGACTCCCCCAGAGATGTAACCCCCCTCAGTGCCAGTGCAAACCTGCCCTGGAAACCTGAATCCCAGAGCCACCCTAGTCTCTGTCATTATTCCCACGGTTTTCCTGCTATAGGTTCAGCCTCCCTAAAAACCTGCTGACACCAAACTCCCTCACTCCAACCCCTGCAGTGAACAAGGACCCCAAAAAATCTTTTCAGGGGGGCTGAGAGCCATGAGGGTGAGCAGAAAGCTTTGCAGCTGCTGGTGACCCTGAGCGAGCTCCATTGCTGAATCAGTGAATAATTAATACAGCTCATCTCCCTCAAACAATCCGGGGGGTTTAGCCATATCTCCAAGACTTTTCTAAACCCACCCCAGGAGGATAAACGGGACAAATAATCCGATTTGAGCATCTCTGCATGCTCTGAGGCCAGAGGATGAGGAGGTTTCCCCAAACACAGCGTAGGAGATGAGACAAAGGCTCCGAACAAGGGGCTCATGTGATCGCAGCCGGAGCGTGGAGGGAGGCAGAGCTCCTGCCAGCCCCAGGCACCGGCTTCAAATCCCTGTCCTGATTTAAAATACACAGGGTGAATCCTCCTGCTGCCTTCAGATATCAAAGAGTTGGGGGATGTCGGGGGGAAGATGCTCCAGGCGTCTCTGCCCGGCAGCGTTGGCCGCGGCGCCGATGCCCAACGCAACGTGGGTGTCCTCATCCCAGTGTGGGCTGGAGAGAAGCTGCTGCATCAGGGTTTTACCCTCTCAGGGTGGGTTCTCTGCTTTCCAGCTCAGAGAATACACATGGACAGCCCATAGAGATCACCCTGAACCCAGTGGCAGTGTGAGCATCCGAGGGGGTGAGTGCTGAGCCTTGTGTGCAGCCTCAGTGCCACATCCCCACGGTGGGACATGGGCAGCTCAGCCAAGGCCCTTCTTCCTGCAGAGCTGCCCTGGGCAGCATGGGGGTCCCTGCCATCCCCCCAGCTTGCTCTATCCCCCTGGCTTGCTCCAAGCTATTGGCAACCCAAGTGGTGTGTGGACAGGGAAGAGTGCTGCTGCCTTTTCCCCGTGTCCCTGCACCATCCTGGTGCCCACCTTTACCTGCCTGCCCATGGCTGGCAGATCCACCAGGCTACATCAGCTCTGCAACTGGAAAAAAGCTTCTTTCCCTTTGGGAGCCACCTGGGGAGGTTGGTGCCTCCTCCCTGAGCCTGGATAAAGCTGATCCTGAGCAGCAGCTGTGGCCCTGGCAAGCCCAAGGCCAGGACACCCTCACTCCAGCAGCCACATCCCCTGACCTCAGCAGCAACAAAGCAGCTCCCACGGGTGTGGGAAGATGGAAGGGACCATGAGGAATTCCCAGTGGGTGCATCCAGGATGCTTGGGGAGTCCTGGTGCTCCCACAGGCCACACACACCTGCAAAGACCCAGGGCTAGTGGTTTCCACAGCTCCCTGGGCTACCAACCCCACAGGTGGTAGCCCCATAGGTAGTAGCCCCCTGTGTGCAGCCCCCCACGGTGGGTGGGTTAGTAGCCCTCCACGGGGAGCCAGACACCCCCATGGCTACATGGGGGCAGCAACAGGCACAGTGAACATCCCCATGACTTCTTGCCCCATGGACAGTCACTCCCACAACCTGCAGCCCCTTTGGGCAGCAACCCCAGGGCTGGTGCTCCCCACCCTGGTGCAGGTCCCAGCTCCCTGCCAAGTCCTGGTCTCCCTCCGGTCCTGCAGTTGTACACAGTGCTGGTACACTCCAGGTACAGCTCCCAGTGCCGGTACATCCTCCAGTGCCAGTACACCCCTGGGCTGGGTCCATCCCCCAGTGCCAGTACACCTCCCGGTGCCGGTCCACCCCCGGTGCCGGT